CTCCGGGGGTACCTGGGCCTCATTTTGGCCAGGTACATGCAGTCCGAGAGGCTGGTACCCTCTCGGACTACCCCTTGGCCTACCCCGGCCTCTTTTTACTTCAAAAAGTGCCGCCTTTTGGGGTACCCTTTCCCAAAGTGCAGCCTTTACTGAAAATTGAGGCCGCAAGGCCTATTTTTCACCTTTTCTTGGTCTAGGCCTCCCTTGGGTAGGCCGTTGCATTTTCCCGAGTGGCGGCACAGATCTCAGCCTTGGATTTGGCTGAGATTTATGGATTTCATCATTCCGAGTTAGTCCAAGCTCCCCTTGCTCCAAATTTGAGTCTTTTGCTCAAATTTTTAATTTTTTTGATGTACCTGGCCCAAACCTTGGGCCAAATTCGCAGTTTTGTCTTGTTCCTCTCTTTGTTTTCCCTCCATTTTGCTGCCAACTCATTCCGGAGCTAGCCGTTCTGTGTCAGCCCACAAAAAACGGATAGATCTCCTCCTCCGCAAGATCAGATTCCAGATCTTAGGCCCAAAAATGAGCCGGTCAACTCACATCAACATTTTTCTTTATTTTTGTTGCTTAAATCTAAATATTGTAGAGATAATGCCCCAAAGAACTTATCTCTGCAATCCGGACTGCCCTCCTAGGATCTAGGAGGGATGAGGTCATCATTGAGAGCTGCCAGTCCCTACTGCTGCAGTCCCAACCTGTCGGCACTTTTCCCTCCACCCATTCCTCCTCCTTCGTCTCATTCTCCCCTCTTTTTCTCCCCTTTTTTCCTCCTCTCTCTTTTATTACTGTTGGGACAAGTGTCCAACAACTATTTCTCCTCTTTCTAGTTGTTGGACCTTTCCCAAGGCCTGATTTTGCTGCCTGCATATGGCCGTTACACCCCGGACTGCAGTAGTGTCACCCCCCGGGGTCCAAGGGGGCTCCTTTTTGCTGCCGCCACTCCCAGTTTGCTCCGATTTTCTCTGGCCGGCCTCTTTTCCACGTGGAGTCCTTGGGACTCCGTCTTTCTTGGCCTGGCTGGTCCGGGATAGCCTGGACCGTTGGCCGATCCCTCTTACTGCCGCTATTCCATCTTTTTTTTCCCCCTCGACACTTCCCGTCGACGCCTGCCGCAGCGGCACTTAACGTTTTCATCCGGACTCCCCGGCCCGGCTGGTCCCGTCCACCTGACGTCATGCTATTTTATTTCTGTTGTCGTTGCATTTGATCCAGGACCCCTTGGGTTGCCCCAGGTGCCCTCCGTTTTTCCCGCCTCGTGCCCGTCTTCTCCATTCTGTCGGCAATTCCTGTCAGCGTCAGACTTCTCCTCCTTTTCTTATTTCTCCTAGCCCCTCCCCTTCGTCCGGCGTCACCCTGGGTGACGACCCGCTCTCGCGCGTCCCCCCTTCTTGGGCTGGTTGCCAACTACCCTGCTGACGGCATCCGACCTTCGGCCCCTGTCCGCGGCTCCTGACACTTTTATTCCGTCGATACCCAATCTCCTAGTGGTTCCGCGGGTGTCGTTATTTTGTCTGGGCCCGTGCGGTCCATGGCCCTTCGGCCTGTCTGCGCTACGTCTATCCCTTGGTCTCACGCGGTTCCTGGCACTTCGTCCCGCTTGCACCATGTCTTTCCTTGGTGCTTCTGACGTCCTTCCGCCTTACGGCGGTCTTCCCCCCCCCCATTCCTTTTGTGTCTCACACGCCGTTCCGCTCCGGGCGTCGGTTCCCCCTAACTTGCGATCTCCATTCCTCTCTAGCTTTGGCGGTCTTGACGACTTCAGACAGCCTCTAGCCTCCTACTGTCTGTACTCACTCTTTCGATCTTTCCAGCATTCCTGCCTCCGATTTTCTCTGTCGTGCACAAATTGGTCAAATACAGTCTCTCGAGCGACGGGAAATCATTCGGGATTCACCAGGCCCGACATATTCCCCCCACTCATTCGCGATGTCCTCATCACGCACCGATCTATGGTCAGTAGGAATTTTGGAGTGATAGACAGACAGGGAAGAGGAGTGGGGTAGGATGAATAGTTAGCTTGCCAGGGTTCTTTTTGTCTTTCCCACTCTTTCCTCGGGTCCTTCTTTAAGTTTCCGCCCCTTGGGGCG